TTGTCAGTGTATAGACTAAGGTGAACCTATAGACCACGGTCTTCTCAATTACTTGCTATGTATCTGAGAGTTAGACAATGCATAATGATGACAGAAGAACTGATGTCTTTGAGTTATGGTGCTAGAGAAGAATATTGAACATACCATGAACTGCAAAGAGAACAAACAGGTCTATTCTTGAGAGGATGAAACCAGTTTGCACCTTAAAGCCAAGGATTTTGAAACTTTGTCTCACATACTTTGAGCATATTGCCAGATGGGACCAGTCTTTGGAGAGGGAACAACATTCTTGGAAAGGTGGAGGGACAGTGCAGAAGAAGACCCTGGATGAGACAGACTAACAGAGTGAGTGTGGCAACGAGATCAGATACATGAGAAACGGTGAAGTTGGTTCAGGATAGGACAAGGTTCAGAGTCATTGCAAATGTGGGCTGTAGTCCTCGATGGCACATAATAATAACAACAACGGCAGGGTGGGTTCTAAATCTGATCCTGTTTCAGCTATCACCACCAACTCATTACCGTGGAGACAGAATGACTCACAGCTGACCCTCCAGAAGTTTTCAAAGACTATACATTGCAGGAGGAGAGATTGACTATCTTTTTCCGGAGGAGCACCAGTGGACTTAAAACTGCCAGATTCTGGGTTGGCCGTGTAGCTTCTTAACATGAGGCCACCTGAACTCCCTCTCTCTGGTATACAAAGAGCAAGTTATACACAAAGATACACACATGTCAGGGAAAACAGACATCATGTGAGGGTCATCTACAGCCAAAGAACCAGTGAATATCCAGGAAAATTTACAAGAAAGGTATTGATATTACCAAGATGATTTAGACTACTAACTTTCAGAATTTTGAGGAAATAAACTTCTGTTCTTCAAAGCCACCCACCTGAGGTATTTCTGTTACAGCAGCATAGGAAACTGAGACAAATCCTTTGGCTTGACACTGACCACACTGTCATAGAAGCAACAGTACTCTAATCACCACTACAGCCTCCACCACCAATATGAGAACATGTACTTCATCTGGGAGCACGGAACTGCAATGAGAAACTCCAGTTCTGTTTATTTGACAGAACTTTGTATGAGGATTCAAAGAGTGGAGGTGGAAGCAGAGGGGTGAGGATGGGTGGGGAGGGGGTATTAATTGTAGCGTTGCACAATTTGATGTGTGTGGGGGGTGAAGAAAATAGGAAAGATTTTGTGTGAAAAACAATGCATTTGAACTTTGTAAATAATTTAGTATAAAAAAGTAAAAAGAAAGTCAACTGGGGGAGAGGAAAAGAAAGGAGAGGGAGGAAAATGTACAATGAGAGAATAAAAATCCACCTTTTCTGTAAATGTTTGTTAAAATCACGATTACCATTAAAAATTTTTGAAAGGTTAAAAAAAAAGTGTGATGACTTAGATCATGCACATCTTAGCCTTTAAACTTAACATTCTTTCTCTTTACCTCGTTAAAGAATTCTTGGCAGTAGGTTTGCCCAATATCTTTGGATCTTTTGATTCTTAGCGTGCTACTGTCATGGGTATTGACTGTGGAATCAAGCAAAATGAAATAATTGGTGTCAATTTTTTGATTGAAATGAAACTCCAATCTTTTCTACATCTATAACAATGTTGTCTACTGGTCCCATTGTGAAGACTTTCATTTTCTGGATACTAAGGTATCTCTGTTAAAGGTAATAGTCCTTTAATAAGTGCTTCAAGTCATCTTCATTTTCTACGATCAAGGTTGTGTCATTTGCACAATGTAGGTTTTTAATGAGTTTTTCTCCAATCCTGGTATCTCAAGTTTTTTCACTTAGTCTAACTTTTTAAATTATTTAGTCAGCATATATTGAACAATTATAAACAAAGGATAGAACCCTGATACACATATCTTTCCTGATTTTAAACTATACAGTGTCTCATTGTTCCAATCAAATGACTGTTTCTTGTCTATCTATGTACAGGTTTCATATATGAACTATGAACAACGAAGTGTTCTAGAATTTCAGTTCTTCTCAATTTTATCTATTATTTCCTATTATTATCCACACAGTGAGATGCCTTTGCATAGTCAATAAAACACAAATGAAACCTGTTTGGTATGCTCTGCTTTCAGTCAAGATCCATCTGACACTATGCATGATGTCCTTGTTCTGTGGGCTCTTCTGAATACAGCTTGAATTTCTGATGAACTGTTCTAGCTACTTTCTTTTTTAAATTTTTTTCCCTACTAGTTTATTTTAAAAACTCAAATACAAATTTGAACAAACTCTTTCAATTTCCCTCACACCCCCACCTATCAATTTATACAACCCAATGATTAAATACCCCCAGCCCCAACATCCACATCCCTCTGCTTCCAGCCTCTCCCACCCCTCCTGGATCCTTATACTCATTCTACAATAATGGTTTTATACAATATTTATCCTTATGGGACTGAGCTAACTAGCTACTTTAAAAGGTCCTTCAGTGTCACTGTGTTGGACTCCTGGGACCTGTGGATCCCGCCAGCCTTGTTGCTTCATCTCCTGGCCAGCCTCCACCAGGCTTCAGCCAAGTGTGGTTTCTTCTTCCACCCGCCCTGAAGGATGAAAATAAATGCTCTGGTGACAGCTTTTACCAAGACTACGATGTCTTCTCTAACCCCTTGAGGATCTTCAGCATCATCTTCCTGATGATATTGTTCTTGTTGTCCATCTTTGGCCTAGCCAAGTATTTCTGCAGGGACTGCATAAAGTCAGAGCCACCGGACCTTCCAATAGAGCACCAGAGACCACTCCCAGCAATGTCCTCCAGTGTCCCCCAGAGAAGGCCAGAATATTTGCCTCTGAGCCCCCTTACAGCAAGATTATTCTGATACCCATTCTGGGCCATCACCACCCTCACACTTCCAGCCTACAGCTTCAGATCAGCCATTGACAATCCAGCCTTCTGAGCCACATCCTCCCCACCCAGAGACTCCTGGAATGCCTCTCACCCACGCTGGGTGTCTAGTCATTCTTGGCCTTAACACACTACTCTTTCTGCCCCTGTTCCACCCCAACTACCTCCCTTGCTCCCAAGACTGGAATGGAGCCACAGTGCCTTGTTCCTCCTCCTCGGCAGAGGCTACCTGCAGGAAAATGCCAACAGCTGATGCCCTACAGCAGAAGCAAGACCCTGGGGTGTTGAGCGAGTCCCCTGCTGGGGGCACACAGTGCACAGGATACCCAGCCATAAGATGTTCAAGAAGTCACTTTGCACTAGTGGGAGACAGGCATGGATGAACTCAAAGTGCAGCTTGGACACTATCATTTCTTTTTGGTACAGTTTCATCTTCTTTTGATGCCTCCAGCATCGTTCAATATTTGACCCACAGAATCCTTCAGTATTGAATCGCCCACCTTGAGTTTGTTCTTCGGTTCTTTCCGCTTGCGAAATCCTGAGCATGTTCTTCCCTTTTGGTTTTCGAACTCCAGGTCTTTGTACATGTCATCACAGCAGTTTGCTTTGTCTTTTGAAGCTGCACTTTGAAATCTTCTGCTCAGTTTTCTCATTTCATTATTTCTACCTTTTGCTTTCACTTCTTTACTTTGAGGAGTAAGTTTTAGAACCTCTTCTGATAGCTATTTTGGAAATAAAAATCCTACATTTGTGGTGAGTAGAGATATTATTTATTCGTGTGTTTTTATAGTTATCAAACTTTGTTCATTCATTGCACATTAATGAAGTTTCCTTTTTAAAATAACAAAAACAAAGATCATTAACAATTCACAGGCAAGAAGCTACATCTCCCCTCTCTCTTTCTCCTTCCATTTTCTTTCGTTTTATGGGAAATGAGTTGCTTGAGTGACTCATTTTTAAACCCTTTTTATGTCCTCACCTATTGTAATGTGACTTGCTCCCACCACGGAGAGGTAGATGCTTATTTATCTACCTATTGAATCTGAGCTGACTATGCAACTCACTTTTTTTGTCCAATGGAATACGGTAGATGGCATGCAGAGTACCATATGTAATGTTAACAGACTGCTAGCCCAAAGGTTGGTAGTTTGCATTTATCAGCCACTCCAAAAGAGGAAAATGGGCAGTCTCCTCCCCAAAATAGTGTTGGAAGCAGTGGATAGTCACTATCAGTTGGAACCAACTCCATGGCCGTGAGTGACCCCTTGTTGGTTTCAAGGCCAGCCTCAGTAAGTCTTGCAAGCTCCAGTTCATTTTCTAATAATTCTATCAGTTGCCACATGAACCAATCCAGGCGATTAAACTGGATGATGAGAGACGCAGGCTTACTCACAGCCGTTGCTCCAGCTGAAAACAAGCCAATCGCCAGACATGTAGGTGAGGTCATTGGAAACCAGCCTATTGCCGGTGACCCACCAGCTGACCACAGACACATAAACAAGCTTAGCCAACATCAACAGAGTCTGGCCTAGGCTAGTAGAATCATTCAGCTAATCTATAGCTGTTGTTGTTGTTGTTGTTAGTTATTGTCAAGTGAGAGCCGACTCATGGCAACGGTACAGCTAACAGGAGTGAACACTGCCCTGTCCTGCACCACCTCCATCATTGCTGGAACTTTCTTTTTTTTTTTTTTTTTGATAGAAAGATTTTCTTTATTAATGACCCCAACCGTATTTCTTTAGATACAGGAGTTTTAAACTCAAATACTTAGGAGAAAACAAGTTAAGATTGCATTATACTGCAACTCATTACCAGTAACATATTGCAAAGCGAAACAGTTTGGAAAAAGAGGGTGGAAGGGAAGGGGAGTGAAGGAGGGAAGATAAAGAAAAGGAATTAAGTTGATCAAGTGGAATTATTCTTTTTCAATTCTTGGGAAATATGAAGTCCTTGCAAGCACAGCTCGTTTCTGCAGATTATTTTCCAAACGTGTACAAAATGGAACCAAAACGGAGAATCCCTTAAGAACCTGAAGAGGTGCAACATTAAAAGCTATGATTATCAGGTAGCAAGTGTTTCAGCCTTCAGTTGCCAGGCGCTTCCTTCTCCTGTGCCCAAGAGTTAGCCGGATGAAAACGTCTTCCCCGTGATTGTTCTCATTTCTTTTTTCTCGGCATCTGGGCGTGCACGGTTCAGCACCTTGAGGAAGTCAGATGTTTTTGCCCGCATACGTGTATGAATATAGGCCTTAGAGCACTTGATGTGGTAGTGCAGGTAGTCCCGGAACGTGTGGATCAGGTTGATGGTATTGTCTCGGGCATTGGTGTTGGTGTGTCGAGGGAACAGCACGAAGGTGATATAGCCAATGTTGTCGCCCACAGCAGCATCGGTGTCCTTCAGTTCGAGAGGAGGCTCCCTGTGGCTGAAGAGGACCTGTGGTGCTGTGTGGCTGGCTCTGTGTCCTTCTTTGAATTCCTGCATAAACACCTTTCCAATGACCACATCATCATCATCTTTGAACACTGTGCTGAAGACTACTGTGACTCTGTCCTTTTTAGACTCAACATACATGGTCTCATCATCCCTATAATGAATAACTGCCCTATTCTCTCCTTCCTTGCCTTCTTCTTGGAACTGGAAGTATTTCTCAAAGACAGAGGCAAAACAATTTCGTTTCAACATGCCAGCCTGATGCACGATGGAATCCTTGGAGGCTGGGAGATTTTCAAGGTCATACAGTAAAGAGACATTGTACCCTG